GCATTCTTTTCCATTCCTGCTTTCCCCTAAGCTTTCCTTTCCATTCCTGCTTTCCACGGGCTGTCCTTTACATTTTGAATTCACCTAGCTGTAATTTCCATTCTATATTCAGCGAGCTGTCACTTCCATTCTGATTTCAGCGAGCTTTCCTTTCCATTATGTTTTCACCAAGTTTTACTTTTCATTCTACTTTTCTGTTCTTTCCGAGCTTTCCTTTCCATTGTGCTTTCCCTGAACTTTCCTTTCCTTTCAGCTTTTCTTGACCTGTCCTCTCTAATCTGCTATCTCCGAGTTGTCCTCTCCATTCTTCTATCCATCCCCGAGTTGTCCTCTCCATTCTTCTATCTATCCCCGAGTTGTCCTCTCCATTCTTCTATATATCCCCAAGTTGTCCTCTCCATTTTGCTACCCCCGAGTTATCATCTCTATTCTTCTATCTATCCCCGAGTAGTCCTCTCCATTCTGCTACCCCCGAGTTGTCCTCTCCATTCTTCTATCTATCCCCGAGTTGTCCTCTCCATTCGGCTACCACCGAGTTATCCTCTCATTATTCTATCTATCCCCGAGTTGTCCTCCCCATCCTTCTATCTATCCCCGAGTTGTCCTCTCCATTCTTCTATCTATCCCGAGTTGTCCTCTCCATTCTTCTATCTACCCCCGAGTTGTCCTCTCCATTCTTCTATCTCTCCCCGAGCTGTCCTCTCCATTCTGCTACCCCCGAGTTGTCCTCTCCATTCTTCTATCTATCCCCGAGTTGTCCTCTCCATGCTGCTACCCCCGAGTTGTCCTCTCTATTCTGCTATCCCCGAATTGTCCTCTCCATTCTGCTATCCCCGAGTTGTCCTCTCTATTCTGCTATCCCCGAGTTGTCCTCTCCATTCTTCTATCTATCCCCGAGTTGTCCTCTCCATGTTGCTTTCCTCGACCTGTCAATTCCTTTCTACTTTCCCCGAGCTGTTTTGTCTATTCTGATTTTCCCGAGCTTTAATTTCCCCTCTGCTTTCCCCAAGCTTTCAAATCCTTTTTGTTTTCCCCAAACGTAATTTTACATTCTGCTTTCCCCGAGCTTTCCTATCTCTTTTTTTTCTTTTATCTGTCAATCCCATTTCGATTTCCGAAAGCTTTCCTTTCCATTCGGCTTTCCCGGAGCTTTCCTATTCATTATACGTTCTCCGAGCTTTACTTTTCATTCTTCCTTCTACTTTGCTTTCCTTGAGCTTCACTTTCCATTCTGATTTTCCTGAGCTTTCCTTTCCATTAAGCATACTCGAAGCTTTCCTTTACTTAATTTTGCTTTCCGTGAGCTTTCCAGTCCATTCTGCTTCCCCGAGCTTTCTTTTCCATTCTGCATTCCCCGAGCTGTTATTTCCTTTCTGATTTCCCCGAGTTTTGATTTTCTTTCTTCTTTACCCAATCTTTCTTTTATATTCTGCTTTAACGGAGGTTTCCAATCCATTCTGATTTCAGCGTTCTTTCCTTCTCATCCTGCTTTCCTCGAGTTTTCCTTTCAAGTCTGCATCCCCCCATCTGTCATATCCTTTCTGATTTCCCTTAGCTTTAATTTCCCTTCTATTTTCAACGAGCTTTCCTTTCCCATTTTGCTTTCTTTGGGGTTTCTTTTTTTTATCCCCTGCCCATCTATATGAGATTGACGCCATCTGATACGTAGATAAAAGTGCGTTTGAAAGTGTACCATAGTGTATTACGTGCAGAATGAAAATGTGCATGTCCTTGTTCCAGAGTATGTCCAAGTGTGCGTATATGCCTTCGTGTGTTTTATGTTTCACTTTTCTGTCCCAAATCACATTCAGGTGTGTGTGTGTGTGGGGGGGGGGGGGGGGGGGGGGGTACACCCTAAAAGTCCGGATTCACTGAAAATTGCGGATTTTGAGTTAGAGGCATACTTAGCTTCTTCATTCGTACCTACAAAATTATTTCATTGTATTAGAACCCCCGAAAGCCTTTTTTCTTCCCATACCGAGCTTGTTTGTCACCACAACATTCTCTTAAAGTCAATCTTTTTATTTTCTTTATAGCCTGCATTCGCAAAATGCGGTTTTTCTGTATACTTTTTAAAAATAATTCAACCACTTTTTTATCCGATCTTCATGAAATTTTAACAGAATTAAGAAAAAAAAACCCCATAATACTAAAAATGCATTTGTTGAATTTTTATATATATTATATTTCTCTTGGTGGTGTCTGGAGTGTGGAGTTCCACGGATTTTTTGCAAACTTGAATACTACCTCACGAAAAAATTCATTAAATATCTAATTTGTTTAGGAAAAATTCAACGGAATAATTTGTAGATCCCTTGTTTATTAACATGTGTGCAAAAAAACAACCCAACAACCGATTTATTTCCTTGAAAAATAAGTCGGGTATTCATTACGTAAGACATTTAATAAAATAAATCCAATATGGCCGCTGTAGCCATGCAAATTAAACTTTTTCCTCAAATTTGACTGCAGATTTTAAGACTCCTTGCTATGCTTTTTATATGTGTGAAATTTGGTAAAATTTGACCAACTAATAAGCGATATAGCCTTCTGGTATTGCCCCTCCCTCCCCCCCCCCCCCTTAAAAAGAAACAATTAATTGCTTACGTGTTCGTACCGTCGTAACGGCGTAGCTCTAAATAGTGTAACATTCTCTCTCTTATTTAAATAAACGATTAAAGACTGTACAACCATCTACAACATGTTACCGTAACAGTGGGTTACAAATGTGGCTCATTTGCGCCACTACTTTACTAAGTTCACAGCTGTCACATCTCCCGTCTGAACTATGTATTTGTCACTACTGCACGTTAATTTTGTTTAAATGGCCTACCCCTGCCGCGTTTGCCTTCAATTTTGCCTGTAAGAGCTAGATGTTCAAGACCCTTATGTCTATTAAGGTGTCCCAAAAACTACATTTGTGAGGCAGCGTGGTGGAATCAGGCTCTCGTCAATTTTTGGGCACATAGAGTTATTGGTATTATCTTAAAGCTTGTTCTCTTGTCTTTTTTTAGATAAAAAAAGATCCATTTATTCTAAATACAAGTCGAGATATTTGAGAATGAAGGAGGTGGGGGTAACCTGTTTTCAGAGGTTAAATTAGTGAGAAAATGGCCGCCAAAGATTAGTTATTTCCTTAGCTTAAGAGTCCATGGTAACTAAAAATTTACATCTTTTATGTCTTTAATTAATGTTTTTCAGTAAAATCCACACAGAAATGAGTTCTTTAATGGCCATAAAAGATGTTGAGCCCAAAAACAAAAATTTGATAAAAATTCACAAACCTGCAGAAAAATGCAAGTTTCTTCACTTTGATTATTTTGACGAGAGCCTGATTCCACCACACTGCCTCACATTTGTCGTTTCCTGGTTGTTTTTAACAGTGATCGTCTCCCGTGGGCTTCACCAAAGCTCTACCTCTTTTCATTTCTTTTCCCTCCATGATACTCTTAGCAGTCTCCTAAGAAACCACATTTCTGTTGCTTCTATTTTATTTTCACTGTCTTTAGTGATTGTCCAGCATTCACAGCCATATAGCAGGGAAGACCATACATAGCATTTCAGAACTTTAATTTTGGTAGTCGTTGAGATATTTCTATTTTTAAGGATTGGTCTCATTTTATTGGAACTAGCCTTAGCCATTATAATTCTTTGTTTTATTTCTGTGGAACATTTGACATCAGATGGTATCATATAGCCTAGATATTTGAATCGCTGGACTGGTTTGATCTTTTCAATTTTGCTAATGGGATTAAAATTAGGATTTTCTGCTTTTTTATTTACTATGCATTCTGTTTTCTTTACAATTAACAATAATCCTTTTCGTTCACTTTCTGTTACAAAAGTATCTAGAAGCAGTTAAAGGTCATTTTCTAAGTCTGCTATTAAAGCTGTGTCATCGGCATTTCTGATGTTATTAATGTTTTCTCCATTTACTTTGAGACCTGGACATTCGTCTATGTTTCTAAGAATTGTTTCACTGTACATGTTAAAGAGGTCTGGTGACATAACACATCCTTGCCTCACTCCTCTCCTAATCTTCTTATTTTCACTGTATTCTCCATTAATTTGTACAGCAGCGTTTTGGTCCCAGAAGCCGAAAGGAAGCCACCAAGCCGAGAAACCTCCTGTCGACCTGAAGAACCACCAGACTTAGCACCAGGAATGTTCGTACAATGTACGAGGCAGGGAAGGTACTGCAGATTGCAAGAGAGATGGAGGCCTACCAACTGGACATATTGGGTCTTTGTGAGACAAGACGGGCGAATGCAGGGGAGTGCCAACTTGCTTCAGGAGAAACAGTTCTCTACTCTGGACTCGCCGCATACAGAAGGAGTGGGTATTCTGTTATCAACACACGCCAAGTGGGCTTTGATAGGATGGAAAGAAGAGGGCCCGCGACTAATATCAGCTGAATTCCGTTCACAGAAGAAAGACATCAACCTTCATGTTATCCAGGGATATGCCCCCACCAATGATAAGGATCAAGATGTGAAAGAGACTTTCTACAAAATGCTACAAAATACTATTGATCAGGTTAGAAGGAAGGACATTTTGATTTTAATGGGAGACTTCAACACTAAGGTAGGCAGTGACAATGTAGGAATGTAGGCTTTGAGGAAATCATGGGGAAACACGGACTTGGAGTCAGAAACAAGAATGGAGAACTATTTGCAGATGTGAAACGCATGGGCTCATGATGAGAGGGACTATTTTCCCACATGGACAGATACATCAATCAACATGAGTGTCGCCAGACCAACAAACTGAAAACCAGATAGACCACATATGTGTCAACAATCTCTCTCTCTCTCTCTCTCTCTCTCTCTCTCTCTCTCTCTCTCTATCTCTCTCTCCCAACCCCTTTCCGCTTTTCCCCAATAGAAGGGAAAAGGGAAAAAAGAAACTTAACAAAACCCCCACAAAAGACCAGGATCCCCGCAAAAAACAAGACACAACAACAGCTACAACAACAACAGTAGCATTAACAACAACAACAACAACAACAACAACAACAACAACAACAACAACAACAACAACAACAACTAGATCTACACAAGAAAGCAGTAAGATCCCAGGTACACACTTCACGGACTTCAGATTCAGAGACTGAGAAAAGCAGTTTTATAATAGGCCTAATATGAGGAACAAGTTTGATGAAAGCGTTGCTTTAAGCAGACATTCACCGACTAAAATGTTTTCACTCTAGAAATGTCTGCACCTCTATTCCTCTGTGCTACATTGGCCCTCAAGTTAATAAAGGAGAGCATTAATAATGTAGGCATGCACCCACTTTGGTCCATTACCCAAGCTGGACCATCAAAGCGAGCAATTATTGTAATGTCGGTCGTTTAGTTTGGCGGGACGCATACTATTAGAGTCAAAACCGCGCCACGCTGAAGCGAAGCCCCCTCTCGAACAACGATAATTTTGTTGGCCGACTCGAGCACACACACACACACACACACACACACACACACGCCCGCGTTATCGGCTTACGAGCTGAACTTTACTGAGAATTGTTATCGCGACTAGCGGTTCGCTGATTGACATTTTGTATTGAGGACCTCGACTGTGGGGTCCACTCTTTTTGGAGAAAGCGCGGTGAGAGAGACAATTGATCATGTTTGATCTAGATATAAATACGAGAGCGATCAAGATCTAGATCTAATGATTCTTGGCGTGCCCATCAACCCGACGTGTTACATTAAATATTTCCTTTTCTGGGATACCGAATTTTGAAATCGGACGCACCGTGCATTCACATTGCGCTGACTCGGAGGGCTTTGAGTGTGCTTTTATTTTTGTGTGAGGTGTGAGGACAGAGGAGGGGTATTGTGTGCAAGAGTGACGCATGAACAAAGTTTTAGCCTACTTCGCCATTCTACATGTTTGTTATCTGCCGTGTCCATCACGCCTTGTGTCATTGTGATAACGTATCTGCCGAGCTGTGAACGATTATTGTGTTGTGCTGTGACCCAACATTATATTACACATGGTCTTGACAGCGCAACACGTAGGTTAGCAGCAAGGTGCGACACGATCTCTGGATTAAAGGTGAGTGGTGCGGTTGGGATTTTTTAAAAAATTATAGCGCACGTTTGTGTGTGTGTGTGTGTGTGTATGTGTGTGTGTGTGTGT